TGCACTTTTTCTAGTGCCATGATATATCTTTCTTTAGAACGGGTGCCCAAAATTGCACAGCATATTCAAGGTGTGGTCTTACCAGCGATTTATAAAGAGGCAAAATTATATTTTCTTCCCGAGAATTTATGCCCCTATTTATACATGACAGAACCTTATTGACATTGCATATTGCTGCCTAATTTGTTGTCTATACCAATTCCCAAATCCTTCTCGTGTGTGGTTTTCCCTAGGTCACTACCATTTAGGGTGTAAATTGCTTGTGCATTCTTAACCCTGAAGTGCATAACTTTGCATTTCTCTACGTTAAATTTCATCTGCCATTTTAGTGCCCAGTCCCCCAAATCTATCCAAATCCCTCTGCAGCAAAGTAATATCTTGCTCACATTTTATTACTTTACAAAGTTTTGTGTCATCTGCAAAAACATTCATTCTCATAGTATTGGCTGAGACTGTCATGGAGGCAGATCCTGGGCAGAGCTATCACAAGCTGAATACATTCCTGGCAAAACAGCATCTCCTCATAGAAATGCTATGAGGAAAGTTTAGTGTATCCATGTAGAGAGTGGAGATACTGAATGGCAGTGCTGCCCACTGTGCATCACTGCCCCAGGAAGCACCCCTTGTAGCCATATAAGGAGTAGCCAGTGGAGGTATCCCTAGGCTGTATGGTAAACACTGCCTTTTCTCTGAAAAAACAGTGTTTACTGCAAAATGTCTCCAGAACAAATGCAATAAGCTGTGGTTGTTCTGGTGACTATAGTGTCCCCTTAAATAGGGTTGAGTAAAGGATAACAGTAAATGAATAGCATTTGGAACAAAATATAGACAACAATACAAGGCAGCATTGTGCAATGTCAGTCTTCCATAGCAAAAGCGAATAAGCAGGACCGGCTTAAGGTCCCATTGAGCCTGGTGCTGACAATTATGATTAGACCTAATTACAGAATCTTATGGACAGAAAATACTAAAATCATTGAAATACTAAGTCAGTCATACCTCCCAAGGATCATGTAACTGGTGGAGGTAGTGCTGGAGGAAACTCACATGATTCATTTATAAGAATATACATACCCTATGCTAAACTCTTGTTTTCATCTCTCAACCAAACCCATATTCCCCAACATTGGCATCCTGTGAAGCAGAACATTGGTGGGCGGGGAAAAAGGGAGGTGGGCCAGTGACATGAATCACCCCACTAGCCCTGCCCAAAGAATTGGAAGGCCAACATGGCATAAATGCATACCAGGCTGTCTGTCAATCACACAGACTGGCTAATTAAGGGCAGACTATGCAGACAGCATTGTTTTAGCACTTTGAGCTTGGCGCAAATGGGTCTAATTATGCATTTGCTCTACATTTTCTGGGGACAGTTCTCTGATGTTCCACAGCACTAACATGTCCACCCCTCTCCTTTCATTCTTATTAGAAGGCAGAAGTTCCAGGTATGCAGCCTGGGACATAGACAATGTAGCTGTATTGAATGTAGACTTGAGGGTACATGACATACTTTTAGAGTGGCCAAAGCATAAACAACATTGCACAGTGCGCAAAGCCAGCTTTACAGTAGCTAATTTATAGTCAGCCAGTTCATATACATTTTGTTACCCTACAGCAGTGCTGGACTGGGAAAAATATTTGGCCTGGACAATTTTTAATCACGGTGGCCCACTAAGAAGGGCGCGGGGCAGAGAGGGTGTGTATTGTCATCACCAGTGACAAGCACGCCCCTCTCATATTGAGCATGTTGGTTCAATGCACTTCCAGGACAGACCATGAGCAGAGATCTTTTGAAGAGCTCTAGCATGAGAAAACACCCTGTATTCGTTCTGCACAGTGCAAGCAAATGTAATAACATGCTTGTGCTGTGTTTCCTTGCAACTTGTCTCTGGTGTATCTAAATTGTGCATGTGTTTGGAGCCTGCTTGTGGGACTGCGTGTGTGTAGAGTGAGCTGATTGTGGTGTGGTATTGTGTAATAAGGTTGGTTTTAGTCGTGCAATGTGTGGCTAGGGGCTGTAGAGAGTGTGTGTATAGGGGATGTAGCAAGTGTGTGTGTGTGTAGAGGTGATATAGTGTTTGTAAAGGTTGTAGAGAGTGTGTGTTTACTTACAATGAATCTAGGGTGTGTGTGTGTATAGGGGATCCAAAGTGTGTATGTCAGGAAAGTAGTGTGTGTGTAGTGAGGTGTGTGTGTGTGTATATAAAGAGGTCTAGTGTGTGTTTGAAGGACCCAAAATGTGTATAGGAAATCTAGTGAGTGTGTGTATATTGCGGATTCAGAGTGTATATAGGGATCTAGTGTGTGTAGATGATCCAGAGTTGGGTAAGGGATCTAGTGTGCGTCTGGAATGTAATGTGTTTAGGAGTGCAGTATGTGTATATATCTATGTTTGGAAGTATAGTGTGTGTGTGTGAGTGCATGTTATATATATGTTCGGAGGGATTGTGTGTTGTGAAAAAAAAACAAAAAAAAACAGGCATTATATCCCCCCTCCCTTCTTACCTTTAGCCTGGGAGGAGGGGACCGTGCTGCCATCCCAGGTGGTGCTAGTCATGAGTGAACTGCGAGGCTAGAGTTCACTCTCGCGAGATTGGGGACGTTGCCATGGCAATGCTCCGGATATCGTGAGAGGAACCCGACGGAGCTGCAAGATAGAGCTCTGGCAGGCCCTCTCTCCCTCCCTTCCCAGCCGGCGGCCACTTGTTAGTGATAGTGGGCCAGTGAGGGAGATCTTTGATAGCGCAGACCCTGCATGGATTGGCAGGGGAGATCCTGTGATCTCCCCTGCCAGCCTCGGCCCATGGCCATCACGAAGGATACAGATAAATTGTACATTTTACGGTTTACTATTTTACTGTTACTGATTAATTTTACTTTTAAGCTGTGGGTCTGCCATGGTCTTAATTGGCTACACTACACTTTTCAAGGACACTTTCACTGTCTCAAATTCTTCTCTTGAAGAGACTTTGGAACACTTTTTTTTTTTTTTAATTCTCTCTAGGCTTTGGATGCACTGCCATGGAGCTCCCTGTTGCTTAGTGTTACAACAACAATAAATTTATTTAAAAAAAACAATGATTTACAGAGTAAAATTGGCCTCTTTTGTAGCACTGAACTAGAGACTTTTTAGATGCAATATCCAGTAATGGTACTTTGCCAGAAAACGAAAATAAATAATTTCAGTTTAAAAGCAATCCATATTATTAGAAGCTATTAAAATAGGAGCTATTAAAAAAGAAACGGTAAACATACAATGTGTACATGAACTCAATCAGAGGTTCTTTATAAAATCCATCAAAACCTCACTCCATGAAAAAAGTAACAAAAGTGTAAAAAGACCCCCGAAAGCAGAACTTACGTATTGAGATAACATTTTTAATTTATTACCTTCATTACTTTCCTACATAATATGTTATCATATCATATCTCCACTTTTACAAGTCGCATTGCACTTCTCATACTTTATTATAGCCCTTAAAATATGTTTAGAATGCTCTGATATCCTTGTCTTGAGTGCTCTTCCTGTCCTGCCAACATGTTGGAAACCACGCAGACACTAAAGAATGTAGACCACATTTTAGAATGGCAAGTTACTAAATTAATTTCAGATTCTACATCTGTGACATTTGACATCAAATTTAACGGTTACAAAACATTACAGGTATGGGATTTTGTTCTGTTTACTGCACTGGTTATTCTTGTATCTCATCTGGACCTAATTACTGAACAAAATATCTGTTCTGCAAGGAAGAGAAGTTTTGAAAATGTTTATACATCAGGGCAGGTGGTTAATTCTCTAGAGGGTTTTGATATACCAATTTTCCACTGAGCAATAGCCCAGCATGTTAAATGTCTGTAATCTAAAATAATAGCCATACATTTGTTATCATGTGGTTGCTTTTTGCCCATCTGCAGCTTAAAGGGGAAGATCTGCAGAAATCTAAAAAAAATAATAATAAAAAAAAATAAGTAGTCAGCTACTCTTATTTAAATGTTATATTTAAATGACCAAGAGGATTCAATAGTGACTTTGATAGGATAAATTGGATTGTTTATGTTAATATTTTATCTATTTTTTTTGTTTTTTTATCTATGTGTTATATTTTGTCAGAATATTTAATGGTTTAGAGAGCAATATTAAAGTATATAAACATTATAATGTTCAAGTAGAGATTGTAGCCGTATTAGTTCAGTGATGAAGATGTAATATACAGATGTAATATATTATACAGATAACATTTTTATCTTGTAATACCTTTTTTATTGGACTAACAGAATTTTTTAATAATAAGCTTTCGGGAGAACCTCCCTTTCTCAAGTCTGAAGCATTTCTGAGCAAGACACATAGAATTTAAAGTTGAGTTGCGGTACAAAGGTTAAAGCGACATGAGAAGTCATGTCGCTTTAACCCCTGTACCACAACTTAAGTTTTGTATAGTGTATTTGTGCATGTAGGGATCTAGTTGTATGTATTATTGCCATTGGAATTCAGTGCCATATTTGTGTGTAGTGTTTGAATGCAGGGGTGTGTTTGTATGTAGTGTTGGCTTTTAAATGCAGGTGTGCTTTTGTGTGCAGTGTTGGTGTTTGTTTGAAGGGGTGCTTGTATATCATTTTAGTGTATTAATACAGAGGAGTGTTTGTAAGCAATGTTTGTGTTTGAATGCTGGGTTGTGTTTAGATGTAATGTTGGCTTTTAGATGCGAATGTACATTTGTGTGTAGTATTTGTGCTTGAGTGAAGGGGTGCGTAGCGTTTGTATATCATTTTGGAGGTTACATTGCAGAAGTGTGTGTGTTTGATTGTTTAGATGTATGCATATACATACACAGTGGTGTATCCTGGTTTTGTGCTGCCCTAGGCAGGACAAAACTCAGGCGCCCCCCTCCCCCCCGCGCCACCCCCACCCAACCCTTCCCCCCGCCCCACCTTCTAAATACACACACACACACAGTCAGACACATACACAAACACACACAGTCAGACACATACACAAACACACACACACACACAGTCAGACACATACACAGACACAGTCAGACACAAACACACACACACACACACACACACACATACACAGTCAGACACAAACACACACACACAGTCAGACACACACAGTCAGACACAAACAGACACACAAACACACACAGACACACACAGTCACATACACACACACAGTCAGACACAAACACACACACACACAGTCAGACACATACACAGACACAAACACAGACAGACACAAACACACACACACACAGTCAGACACATACACAGACACAAACACACACACACACTCACAAACACACACAGTCAGACACAAACACACACACACACATTAACCTTTTTTTTTAATTTAAATCCCCCCCCAACCTCCTTACCTTTGGGAGTGCTGGGGGGGGGGGCTCTCTCCCTGGTGGTCCAGTGGCTGCAGGGCGGGCGGCGCTGGCAGGCGGGCGGACGGGCGGGCGGCCGGCGAGGGAGCACTTCCCATGAGCTGACTGCTCAGCTCCCTCGCGCGTCGGCTGCAGAGTGAGGCTGGGAACCGGAAGATGACGTCATCTTCCGGCTCCCAGCCTCACTTTGCGGTGCGCGAGGGAGCTGAGCAGTCAGCTCATGGGAAGTGCTCCCTCGCCGGCCGCCCGGGATGTCAGTTAGCCGCAAGGCTAACAAGGCATCTGCCCTGGGCATTTGGGGGGCGGCGTTTTTTGCCGCCCCCTGAAAAATGCCGCCCAAGGCAAATGCCTTGTTTGCCTCGCGGCTAATACGTCCCTGTACATACATACTTACACACATATAAGTACACATTAACACACAGATACACACATATAAACACGCTGACACGCGCAAATTTGTATACACACTGACACGTGCACACATCCTGAAACATAGATATACACACTGACAAAATAGATGCACACCCTGACACACATATACACAAACACACAATGACATAAACAGAGATGCACACCCTGACCAGGGTCACTATAAGCTCAAGGTCTGGGCCCCTGGTGGTCCTCCTCCAAGCCCACCCACAGGGCCCATCCCCAAGTCAGCGGTGTGTGTAAAGTGGATACAGGGTGTGTATGTGTATTTGATGCAGTGTGTGTAAAGTAGACACTGTGTGTGTTAGTACATGTATAGTGGATGCAGTGCATATATACGTACACACAATTTGTGTTTGAATGCAGGTGTGCATTTGTGTTTAGTGTGTTCAGATCCACACACACACACACACACACACACACTTATACACAAAGATACACACTGACAAACCAATACACATGCAGACACAAACAATGACACAGATACACACACTCATACACATTGACACAGAATACACAAACACACACACACACTGACACAAAAGGATACACACAGTGATACACAGATACACACGGACATTGCTGACACACACACACCCTGAAACACAGACATACATACAGACACAAAGAAACACATGACACACACACACACACACACACACATACATACAGATACACACACTGACAAACACATACATACAGACACACACATGCAGCACATTTTTCAGCCTGTTTCTTACCTTTTGGATACAGGAGGGTGGCTGTGGCTGATGGGAGTCAGCTGGCTCTCCCCTCCTCACGGTCTCCTAACACCGGCCGTCACTTTGTCCCAGCACTACTTGCAGCTGCTATCAGGTGCATGGGCCACCCGATAGGCCTCATCAGCGTGCAGGCCCTGGAGCAGCAGCACTGGCGGCAGTTCCTCCGGTACAGATGGAGAATGGTTGTCATCACATGATGGCGGCTCTGACCCTGACACACAGATGCACACACACACATACTGACACATGCACACACAGACAACACTGAAACACAGACACATACAATCTTTATATTTACAGCCACCCTCCTGTTAACATACCTTTAGTATTCAGGAGGGTGGCTTCATTGGATCCCTGCTGCTGGCTGCCATCGATGGGAGTTGAGTGTCTGGAGCAGCTCTCTCGATTGCTCCTCTCCTAATGCTGCCTGTGCCTCCTCCGTTGCATCTTCACTCTCTCTCACCAACAAGCTGGGAAGAAGTGACATGACATGCTATTTATCACTTCCTCTCAGCCGGCAGATACTGCAGGGGCCCAACCTGGCCCTGTTAAACAGGTTTGAGGAAAACCCCGCCCCCCCACACCTGTTAAAGTTTAGCCCGACCACTAGAACACTTCTAAACAAAACAGTTCTGGGTGGTTAGAGTAATTTAATAGGGTCTCTGGCTGGTCAAGGTAGAGGAGCTACCCCTTGCTCATAGGTAGTGATTGTCCTCCTTGATGGACTGTGGCTCCCCTCCAAATAGCGCTCTAATTGGTCTTTGGGGAAGGGTTCAGACCATGGGAAAAAGTGACCAGAATAGGGTGATGTTTTTGGCTGAGCTGGAGTTCCATGCAACACGGTGTATGGTCTGGAGACGGGGCAGGGAGAGGCAGGGCCGGACTGGCCCACCGGGATACCGGGAAATTTCCCGGTGGGCCGCGGCACCTGGGGGCCGGCCGCGTTCCTGGGCCGGCCCTTTAAATACTGCAGCCGCCCGAGCGCTCTTTGAAGAGCGGTCAGGCGGCTGCAGCTTCTCCCCTGTAGCGTGGCCGAGCTGCACTCCGGTCCGCGGTGGCCGGCCGGTGTTCTATCAATTTGGTATACCCCGTCAGATTGCTATACCCACGTCACTTCCGGGGAGGGGAAGCAGCTGTCTCCTGTGCTGCACATGCGTGCTAGCACTCCTGCTACTCCTCCACAGCAAGGTCCTGGAAGGTAAGTAAAACTAGTTTTACACTTTCATTATAGTTAGTGCATTCACTAAGCTTAGGACATGGGACATTTAGGGTTAATGTTAGGGTTCAAATTAGGGTTAGGATTAGGGACTTGTTCCTATTTAGTGATATTTCACATTTGGGGAATATCACTAAATAGTGATTTCTCACACTTTATTTTAACCCTTACCCCAAGGGTTAGGGTAAGAATAGAGTGTGAGAGAGGTTAGAAGCACTTACCTAACCCTAATTTGTACCCTCACTTAACCCTAAATGTCCCGTGTGCCTAAGCTTAGTGAATGCACTAACTATAATGAAAGTGTAAAACTAGTTTTACTTACCTTCCAGGACCTTGCTGTGGAGGAGTAGCAGGAGTGCTAGCACGCATGTGCAGCACAGGAGACAGCTGATTCCCCTCCCCGGAAGTGACGTGGGTATAGCAATCTGACGGAGTATACCAGACTGATAGAACACCGGCCGGAGTGATAGGAAGGTGCACACTGAGTGTGTGCACTTCCTGTCAGTCCGACCAGTTACAGGAAACAGAAACTCCTGTTCCGCGCTGAGTTTCTGTTTCCTGTAACCAGCCGGACTGACAGGAAGTGCACACTCAGTGGGGAGGGAGGGGAATAAGATCAGGGGAGGGA